GCTCAGAGGGGATAGGAGACGAAGGGGACGGTTTGGGACCTACGGGTGTAGGGGTGTGCCGCAAGAGTACGTCTGTTTCTTAAAGCAGTGAAAAAAAGGTAGAACAGTTCAGAAATTGTTTCCTCCTTTATGGGTTTCTCGGTGGCTCTAGGGTAGGGGGCTTCGGGTTACATACGCACATACATACATGTATTTACTTGCGTGCTTGCTTCATTGTCCTTTTTTCTCTTTGGGGGGAGGGGTGCCAGCCAAGCAAAAGCAAAGAGGCGAATGCAAAAAAACACTTCGGATTAAACTACCTTAAACCCAGGGACTATTGTTTTTGTTATTTTGACCTTAAATCCTAAACCCCAAACCCTAAACCCTAAACCCTAAGGCCTAAACCCTAAACCCTAATCCCTAAACCCCAAGATTTAGGTACGGTTTAGGCTGATGGCTGCGCTGGGAACGGAACCAGGAAACCCGCCGTGCATGCATCGCGGTTGCACGTTTCTTTTCAATTTCCGTTCGCCCTGCTTCGCCAGGAAAGCCTGGCCCTCCCGAAAGCTTAACCCCAAAACCTAAACCCAAGACTCTAAACACTCCCCAAACAGTCCCCAAGCAAACCCTCAGCTTGGGATGTTCCCCCTTATACTAACAATAATAATAATAATACTAATAACAATAATAATAATAATCATACTAATAACAATAATCCTGAATAGGGATGATAATAGGGGTATAAGGGGGAGCATCCCAGCCCTGAGCCCCTCAGCTCGAAACAGGTGGACTGGGCGTGTGCTGAGGGCTTCGGCGGTGGGGCTTGGACATCCCTACCAGGCTCGTTTAGGGTCATTTAGGGTTTAGGGTTTAGGGTTTAGGGTTTAGGGTTTAGGGTTTAGGGTTTAGGGGTTTCGGGTTTAGGGCTTAGGGCTTAGGGTTAAGGGTTTAGGGTTTAGGGGTGCCTTTCGACGAACTCGGGTTTCGGGTTTGCGGCTCGTAAGCCCCCATATGGTGCTTTGTTGTTGCCCGAATACAGACTCCTCAATCGTAGGATCTCCTTATATAAAGGACCCCAGTGAGGTACCCCTATGATCAGGATGTAGTTTGGGTACAGTGACAGCGCTGGATAAGAAACCTCTAAGTTTTGGCGGGGGTCCCTCGATTTCTTAATTTCGAAGCCAATTTCCGGAATTATGGCCTCCACACTTTTGAGGGTACCCTCGATTTCTTAACGAATTTCTTAATGGGATTCGAACTGGTAACGTTTGGGGGGGGGGGTTTCATTCAAGGGGGGGAAGCATCCAGATACAGGGGCTGGATTTCTTGAACTGTTTTATGCCTAGAAACTGAGGGGCGGTGGCCAACAGCAACCACATTTAAGAAATTTAGGGCCCAGGATGAGGGTACCCTCGATTTCTTCATTTACTCTTGCCCTCAATTTTCGCGCAGTTTTTCTCCGGGATCCAGCCGCGAGCATGCTCGTTTGTTAATCCAATGATCTCTTAATCAGTGCTGTCACTGTAGCTTCTTGCAGGGCCAGGGGCGTGGGCTTCAGAGGGTTTTTTTTATGAAGTAGGGGTTGATGGGATGGCTCCAAGGGATGGCTGTTCAGGGTTTAGGGTTGAGGGTTTAGGGTTTAGGGTTTAGGGTTTAGGGCCATGTAGGGTTGGTGGAGTTTGGGTCAAATGCACAAGATCATGACCCATAGCCGAACCCCAAACCCTCCACGCTCAGGCACATCACCAAAAGCTCTTGTCAAAGCCAACAGCACGGAGGACCTGAACGATGCCCCCGACCCCTCTCCCGAGCTGCCAGTTGCGTAGTCAAGCAAAATCGCATGGTAGTTGTTCAAGACAACCCTGAACCCTAAACCCTAAACCCTAAACCCTAAACCCTAAACCCTAAACCCTAAACCCTAAACCCGACACCCGAAACCCTAAACCCGAAACCCTAAACCCGAAACCCGAAGCCCTAAACCCTAAACCCTAAACCCGAAACCCTAAACCCTAATGGCCCTCAACAAAGCACTCCAGGGTCGGTTTCCTAAGGTCGGGTTCCTGTTTCACCTTTGAAGGGGCTTTCATCCCATGGTCCATCCCTTTAAAAGGTGGTCCCTTTATGGTTCCTTACCTTGCTTAGGGTTTAGGGTTTAGGGTTTAGGGTTTAGGGTTTAGGGGTTTAGGGTTTAGGGTTTCGGGCCCCCTGGGCTGAAAAGGGCAGAAAGAGGGTTAGATGCATGTGCTCCCACATGAGGCGCCCGCAGTAAGGCCCCAGCTACACTAAGGTGTAGGATTCAGGGTTTAGGGTTTAGGGTTTAGGGTTTAGGGTTTAGGGTGTAGGGTTTAGGGTTTAGGGTGTAGGGTTAGTGCAGGCCATTTCTCCGGATTGGGCCGCTGTAGCCCCTTGCCACGCAGAGACTGCAAGACTGAAAGGGGTGGTGACCGGAAGGCTTTAAACGTCGCCAAACCCGAAACCCAAACACCAAACGCCTTCCACAAAAGGTGGGGGAGCCACAGATGTCGTACTCTGTGTGGAGTTTAGAGTCTGGGGTGGAGGGCACAGGGTCTGAAGCCCTAAGCTCGAAACCCCGACTTTTCCGCCTCTAAGCCCTAAACCCCAAACCCCAAACCCTAAACCCTCAACCCTCAACCCTCAGCCCTCAACCCTCAACCCTCAACCCTCAACCCTCAACCCTGAACCCTCAACCCCCAGGCCGCGCAAGCCCACTTAGATTTTGGACAGGCCTTAGAGTCTTGGGGTTTAGGGCTTAGGGTTTCGGTTTTAGGGCTTAGGGCCTAGGATTTCTTGAGTTTGGATCGATTTCGGCAAGGGCCCCAAAAACCACATCAACATGTACATAGCCTACTATTGGGGTATGAGGGCCCCTATAAGGGGAATTCTGGAACACCGTGCATGTAGAGTCCGTATGTTTCTGTTGGTTTTTTGGTTCCCCTACTCGGGCGTTGCGCGTTATCAGCGCCCTTTTTGAAGAGGCCCCACGCCCCAACACCCCAGAACCCTAGACCCTAAACCCTAAACCCTGAACCCTAAACCCTAAACCTGAACCCTAACCCTGAACGCTTAGAGCTGCCGAAGGTGTCTCCCAGAAGGCTTTTCCCTTGCCAGGCGGGGCCGACCCCGAACCCCAACACCCTAGACCCCACGACTTGAATCCTAAACCCTAAGCCCTAAGCCCTAAACCCTAAACCCTAAACCCTAAACCCTAAGCCCTAAACCCTAAACCCTAAACCCTAAACCCTAAACCCTAAACCCTAAACCCTCAGCTGCATAGATCAAAAACAGCCCTAAACCCTAAACCACCCGAGGCCCTGTAGGCCCTCAACTCTAAGGCTGACGGCAAGCCTGGGCTTCAGGGGATTACTTCGGGTTTGATTGCTTTAGGGGGCAGGCACCGCATTGAAGCTCGACCTTCTTGGTCCCTGGTCTTTATTATTACTATTATTATGATTATTATTATTATTAATGTTATTATTATTAATATTATTATTATTCTTATTATTATTGTTATTTTTGTTATTATTATTCTTGTTATTATTATGATTATTACTATTATTATTATTATTATTATTATTATTATTATTATTATTATTATCTTACTGTAAATGCGCCATCTTGGCTGGTGGGAGGTCCCTGGTTGTTGCAGGACTGTTTTTGGGCGCGGTTGTGGATGTGTTGGGGATGCTCCCTCCCCCCTCCCCCCTCCCCCAGCTGCCTAAACCCCCTGCCCCCCTTAAACCCCCTACACCCCCCCCCCCACCTCCGAAACCCGAAGCCCTAACCCCAAACCCTAAACCCTAAACCCTAAACCCTAAACCCTAAACCCTAAACCCTAAACCCTAAACCCTAAACCCTAAACCCTAAACCCTAAACCCTAAACCCTGAACCCCAAACCCCAAACCCAAACTTAACTGAAATCCCTCAACTGCAACGCAGTTTGGGGTGTTACCCCGCTCTTCCACAGTGATGGGAGGCTTGCTGCCGGCCTACGGAAAGGCGGAGCCCACCAAGGGGGTTTAGGGTTTAGGGTTTAGGGTTAGGGTTTAGGGTTTAGGGTTCAGGGTTCAGGGTTTATGGGGTTTAACAACCCTAAACCCTCCCAGGGAGCCAGCACATATGATCCAGTCAGGGTTAAGGTTTAGGGTTGCCTGGAGGGTTTAGGGTTGAGGGACTTTCCCCTCTCCCCCCAATGGTTCATGGTGGGTCTGGGGTTTGAGTTCGGCTTTGGGGGTTTCCGAAAGTCAGGCCTTTAAGGGGACCAAACGCCCCCTTGTCAAGTATCCGTGCTGGCGCGCTCCAGCACCCGAAACCCGAAACCCAAAACCCAAAACCCAAAACCCAAAACCCTAAACCCTAAACCCTAAACCCTAAACAAGTCCAAAGTGTAGGCCGACCTCGTGGTAGAAACGCTTGAGCTTCAGATGCGCGCCGACCCGGCTCCCTGGCGGGGATGTATGGGTTGAGGTTTAGGGTTTAGGGTTTAGGGTTTTGTGTTTTGGGTTTAGGGTTTAGGGTATAGGGTTTAGGGTTTAGGCTTGTTCCCAATAAACCCCATAAACACTGTAAGCGCTGCAAGCCCTATAAACCCTGTAACCACTACAAACCGAAAACGCCCTATAAACCATATAAGCCCTATAAATCCTATAAACCCGATAAGCCCTCTAAACCCTAGAAGCCTAGAAACCCTATAAACCCTGTAAGAACTATGAACCCTGCAAGCCCTATAAGCCCTATAAGCCCTATAAGCCCTATCATCCAAAGTGTCCAGTCGGCCTTGGGTCCTTCTAGCTGCGTTTTGCAGTTCAGGGTTTAGGGTTTAGGGTTTGGGGTTGGGTTTAGGGTTTAGGGCTTGGGGTCTAGGGCTTGCGATTCGCACCCCACCCTCCCAAAAGCGCTTTTCATTTGAGTCGTGAAGGGTTTGCTTTAGGTTTGGGGTTGGGTTTGTCAGAGTAAACGGGTTTGGGCTGGACTGCTTTGCAGGGGTGCAGAGCTTCGGGTGCTGCAGCCCTCAACCCTAAACCCTCAAGCCGAAACGCGAAGCTGTAACCCCCACCTCGGCGAAGACGCAATCAAAAGGCAGACCCTAACCGTAACACCCCTTAGCCTAAACTCACCTTAAGGCCTCAAAACCCCAACTACCCCACAACCCTCAGGCCCTAGCACCCTCGGACCTTGCTAGCACAGGTTTACTCCGTGTCAATCTGCTGCAAGGTCGGTGCTTTGGCAGAGGCGGCGATTTGTTGGGTCTTAGCTCTCCAGAGACACCAATACCCCTTGAAAAGGATCTCTACTAAAATTGCAGGGGGTTTTCTTCATTGACGTCTCTGGGTAGACTGCCTAGACCCCAAATTCTAGGACCCTAACCCTGAACTCTGGACCTTGAACCCCACTAGCCACAAGCACCCCACGCCGTAGATGAATCGTAACTCCTACTGGCCCCTAAACCCTAAACCCTTCAACCAGAATCCCCTCAACTCTAAACCTAAACCCTTAAATGACACGACCTCAACCCTAAACCCTTCAACCCTAATCCCCTCAACCCTGAACCCTAATCCCTAAGCCCATTGCAAGCTTCTAGCTTCAAAGATGCTTTTTCTTGTTCTCCCCCGAGTGCATGCGTGGAGGACAGGTTTGCTGTGAAGGTGGAGCCTGTTGAGGATGATGAGAGGGTTTAGGGTTTAGGGTTTCGGGTTTAGGGTTTAGGGTTTAGGGCTCTTGTTCCGTCCTTCCAGAACACACTGGGCGACTCGTACATCGTGGTGGCCGAGTCAAGCAGTGATGCGATCGAGACGGTCACTGGCTTGGCCAAGTCAGGCACTGATGCGATCAAGACGATCACAGGCTTGCTCCCTAAACCCTCAACCCTAAACCCTGAACCCTGAACCCTGAACCCTGAACCCTGAACCCTGAACCCTAAACCCTAAACCCTAAACCCTAAACCCTACACCCTAAACCCTAAACCCTAAGCAGCTTACGCTTAATTGTTGAAGGCTCGTAGGGTCTTCGGCTTGAGAGCAGTGAGGGCCTTTGGGGTTGTTTAGAGTTTAGGCTTTGGGGTTTAGGGTTTAGGGTTTAGGGTTTAGGGCTCTTCGGTTCGGACTCATCTCAAGATGCCGCCGCTGCCAGGTGCTGGACATCTCCCGCAACCTCTTCGACAATTTTCGGGTGCGTGCTGCGCCATGGCCCACCCTTTGTGGTACATTACTGTAACTTTAGATCCTTACCTTTTTTGGGTTTATTGGGTTTCTTATTAAGGCTTACCAAAACAGTATGGCTTCTGGGCTACGAAGTATAGTTCCCGAATGACGGAGGTTAAATAAAGCCTTCGGGACACGTACTACGTCGGGATAGACAACATCTTTGCATCAAGCGATAATCAATTCAAAACTCAGGCCGCGTTGCCAAGAGAAACAGAACAGCGTAGAGTGGGTCGCCCACGGCAATTCTGGGCGACCACGCACCTCGAAAAAGGTTGGCTCGTAGTCAAATCAAATGACGTCACGGCATTACAGGTACCCCTCAATATGCCCGACCGAGAGAATCGTCAAGCGGTTGTTGATCACGCAAGAAGGTACTAACCACCTTTTCATTGAGAGAGGTGAAACGTCTTTCTCAAAAGCCATCGACTCTTGACATAAGATTACGGGTACACAAAACATCTGAGTATGGACTAGCAGCTTAGTGTGAAGCACCTCTGTGAGAAATCCCTCTATGCGGAACAGCTCTGTGAAGTAGGCAGGAATTCGGTCAGCACCAGAGACTTGCTGCACGTGCTGCTGCAAGGTAAGGTTATCCATATATATGTATATATAGATATATAATATGCGTCATATCCCGAAAGCCTAAACCCTAAACCCTAAACCCGAAACCCGAAACCCGAAACCCGAAACCCGAAACCCAAAACCCTAAACCCTGAACATACTAGAAGTACACTCCTCTATATATCGGGACCTGAGAAGGCCAGAGCTGGCGCCAATGCGCGTGAAAACAAGCACGCGCGCGCACGGCACAGCTAAAAAAAAAACATACTAGAACATCATAACCCTAAACCCTAAACCCTAAACCCTAAACCCTAAACCCTAAACCCTAAACCCTAACCCTCAACCCTCAACCCTCAACCCTCAACCCTCAACCCTAAACCCTAAACCCTAAACCCTAAACCCTAAACCCTAAACCCTAAACCCTAACCCTAAACGCTAAACGCTAAACCCTAAACCCTAAACCCTAAACCCTAAACCCTAAACCCTAAACCCTAAACCCTAAACCCTAAACCCTAAACCCTAAACCCTAAACCCGAAACCCTAAACCCTAAGCCCTAAACATACCAGAACACAAGAAAAGCGACTCCAGGTTCTGCACCACAACCCCATTGCATGGGACCTCGAGGCTGGGACTCGGCCACCGTATTAGGCTTCAGGGGTTTTTCAGGTTTTCCGAGTTGTTTTTTCTGGGTTTTGTTTAGAGTTTTCAAGGGTTTTTAAGGTTTTTTTTTTTTTTTTTTTGGGGGGGGGGGGGGGGGGGTTAAGGATTGTTAAGGGTTTTTTGGGTTTTTAGGGTTTCAGGGTTTTCGGGTTTCACGGCTTAGGGTGTGAGGCTTGCAGGGTTTTAGGGTTTTTGGCGTTTTTGGGTTTAGGGTTTTAGGGTTTCATGGTTTAGGGTGTCAGGGTTCAGGGTTTTAGGGTTTAGGGCTTTAGGTTCTTAGCGTTTCAGGGTTTAAGGGTTTTTAGGGTTTAGGGTTTTAAGGTTTTGGTCTGAGGGGGTTCAGGGTCCATTTTTTGGCTTAGAAAGGCTTTAGGGTTGCCGGGTGTAGGGTTGAGGTTGAGGGCAACAAGATAGGGACTGTAAATTAGACTGTTTCCCCTTGCACATTCTAACAGTCTTTAGTCGGGATTATCGTACCCCCCCCCCCTCCCGGCCCCATTAGGATGCCTAAGGACTGTCAGCATGTGGGGGAATGCAGGCGTAGAAGTGACATGCTCAGAGTCCTAAACCCTAAACCCTAAACCCTAACCACCCTAAACCCTAAACCCTAAACCCTAAACCCTAAGCCCTAAACCCTAAACCCTAAACTCTAAACCCTAAACCCTAAACCCAAATCCCTCAAAAGCCCGAACCTCTAGGGGCGTAACAAGGAGTTTGACAACTTGTTTCGGCTCAGGTTGGCTCTAGAAGAACCAACGCGCCTTGAACGGACCGTAACCCCCAAACCTAATGACTATAGAGTGTCGGGTTTAGGATGTAGGGCCTCGGTATGTCATATGTCTTTTTATTGAGTGTAAAGAGGATCTTCGGTAGGAATATGTCTCCGAGGTTTTGAAGGTCCAACCAACCTGGACGAAACAGCCGCTGGGTTTAGGGTTTAGGGTTTGGGGTTTAAGGTTTAGGGTTTAGGGTTTAGGGTTTAGGGTTTAGGGTTTAGGGCAAGATCTTTCAACCCGAAGCTTGCGGATTTCTCTGGGCGGTAAGGCCCCTGCAAATGTTGAGCAATGAAGGTTTTAGGGTTTAGGGTTTAGGGTTTCGGGTTTAGGGTTTAGGGTTTCGGGTTTAGGGTTTGGGGTTTCGGGTTTAGGGTTTAGGGTTTAGGGTGTAGGGGCGGATACTTTGATCCCAGCATACCCCCAAACCCTGCATCTGCACACCCCCACCCGAACCTTAAACCCCCAAGCAAAGCCTTAGGCCTTCAGCCTACAGACCGTGAACCGCAAGCTACCGCGCAACACGTAAAACCGCTAAACCCAAAACCCCAAATCCTGAACCCGAAGTCCTAAACCCTAAGCCCGAAACCGGAAACCGGAAACCGGAAACCGGAAACCCTAAACCCTAAACCCTAAACCCTAAACCCTAAACCCTAAACCCTAAACCCTAAACCCTAAACCCTAAACCCAAACCCTAAACCCTAAGCCCTAAACCCTAAACCCTAAACCCTAAACCCTAGAAGGCCTAAGCCTGGTAGAGGTTGTCCAGTCTGACGGCCTTGCCTATGCTGCGATACAGAGCCAGCTGCCCTCAGGCCAGGTTCGGACCTTGAATGGCGTGATCAGGGAACCCAATACCCCTTAATTAGGGCTTAGGGTTTAGGGTTTAGGGTTTCGGGCTTAGGGCTTAGGGTTCAGCACTCCGGGTCGAGCAGTTTTATGGTAAAGCTTTGTTTACGGCTCAGATATGACACCCACCCACCCAGAGAATCCCACAACATTGATAAAGCAAAAAAATAGGCCTTATTCTGAAAATACAGCGGCCTTATTCCGAAAATAAAGCGGCCTTATTCCGAAAATAAAGCCGCCTTATTCTGAAATTCAATTACGGTGTATATATATATATATATATATGGTGGAGAGGGTTTCGGGTTTAGGGTTTTGGGTCTTGGGTCTTGGGTTTTGGGTTTTGGGTTTTGGGTTTTGGCTGCCTTTCGAGTACGGGTCATTATGATGAATATGCTGAATTAGGTGGTATTGGGGTCTCTGGGTGATGACCAACTGCGCCGTAAACCCTAAACCCTAAACCTTGCTTCAAACTTAAACCCTAAACCCCTCTGTTTCCTGTACAGGTGGCAGCGTACCTGGCTTGAACATGCTCAGCCAAACGACGTTGCCTAAACTAGGCCCTAAACCCTAAACCCTAAACTTTAAACCCTAAACCCTAAACCCCAAACCCTAAGCCCTAAACGCTGAACCCTAAACCCCAAACCCGAAGCCCCATGACCCCTACCCCAACAACGCACGAGGCGATGAGAAGCGGCCGGACGACTTGGACATCTTCTGAGACCCCGGCTCCCTTCAGCCCCAAGTGGGCTTAGGGTTTAGGTTTCGGGGTTTAGGTTTTGGGGTTTTAAGCTCTACGCCCTAAACCCGAAACCCTAAGCCCTGAGGCTCAACGCCCCCCTCCCCCCCCCCCGAGGAGTTGCAGTAGCCACATCCGGGTTTAGAGTTTAGGGTTTAGGGTTTAGAGCTTTGCATATAAGGTGTTGGCAGGCTCGTGTTATCTTGGAACCCTAAGCTCGAAGAGAAGCCCTGGTTCGAACCCTAAACCCCAAACCCTCAACCCTAAACCTTAAACCCTAAACCCTAAACCTAAACCCCAAACCCCAAACCCTAAACCCCAGACCCCAAACCACAAACCCTAAACCCTACTCAACATCCATTTTGGGTTTAGGCTTTAGCTCTCATGTCCGGCTCGATGCGGAAGTGAAGGGGGAGTTGCTCAGCCAGTGCGGTTCACACGGCCTCCCTACGCGCTAGACGTCCCACATCCCTAAACCCCCTTCGGGGGAATTAGGACCCTACATATATATGTATATATACATACCCTTCAAAAAAGTACATAGGGTACATAGGGCTCTTTTAAAACCTGAAAGAGAGTATATAGGGTACCTCATTGCCTCATTCCCTACTAAGACCCAGCCAGTACAAGACCCTAAACCCTAGACCCTAGACCCTAGACCCTAGACCCTAAACCCAAAACCCTAAACCCGAAAGCCTAGACCCCAAACACTAAACCCCAAACCCTAAACCCTAGACCCCACACACTAAATCCCAAACCCCAAACCCTAAACCCCAAACCGTGCGAGCTTGGGTCCCCCGATGAAAGGGTCTGCTTCTGGCAGCTCCGATGCACTTCCGAGAGCCGGGGGGGTTTAGGGTTTATGGTTTAGGGTTTAGGGTTTAGGGTTTGGGGTTTAGGGAGGGAGCACCAGCATGCAAAGTCCCAAGCGGGTGCTCTCGATGCAACTTTGCCCAAGGATGCGATCCCGGGAAACCTCCGCACTTTGTCATTCAAGGTGTGGAACTAACCACAACTCCAAACCCTAAGCCCTCAATCCTAAACCCTAAACCCTAAACCCTAAACCCTAAGCCCTAAACCCTAAACCCCAAACCCCAAACCCTAAACCACCCTGTCGCCCTCTCTGATATCCATGTGCTTGCATCCGCAGGCGTGCCATGGCGACCATCAGCCTTTCTTCCACAGCCTTTCTTCACCAAGCAAGGGGTGTCGGAGGAGAAGCCACCCGAAACCCTAAACCCTCAACCCTAAACCCTAAACCCTAACTCCTAAGCCCTAAAACCTAGAAGCCCAAAAATCGCAGTGGGCCCCACCTCCTAAACCACGGGAAGCCACGAGCCAGGCGTCTCCTCCGATTCCTCCGGCTGTTCCGTGGGGGGCTAGTGGGCCCACAGCCCTAGCCCCTAACGGCCACCCCCGACGGACAGGCAGATGCGGCTTCGTGCCGTCCCGAACAAGGAGTCGACGTCCGGCCGAATGGAGGGACAGGAAAGAGAAGAAGCGGTCTAGGGTTTGGGGCTTAGGGTTCAGGGTTTAGGGTGTAGCTTTCAGGCAGAAGTACCAAGATCCCGAAACCCAGAACCCCCCCCAAAAAACCCTAAGGTACACACTATGCCTTGAAGGGTTTAGGGTTGGGCTTTCCGAAGGCCCACAAACTGAACATTCCTTGAATTGTATTAGTGATCCTCGTGTCACGTAAGAAGTATTCCTAGACCCCAAACCCTAGACCCCAAACCCCAAACCCCAAACCCCAAACCCCAAAACCCAAACCCAAAACCCCAAACCCCAAACCCCAAACTCCCTAATTCGCATGTAAGGGATGTTGGAGTCTCTACCGGTTGTGCCTGCAAAGGGCAGGTGAATTGAGTGCAGGCCTTTAGTCGTGGAATCTAGTTGAGGAAGGGGCCAGAAGAAGAGGCTTAGGGTTTAGGGTTTAGGGTTTAGGCTTCAGGGTTTGGGGTTTAGGGTTAGGGTTTAGGCTTTAGGCTTTAGCTTTTTGCTGAAGGCTGTAGGCTTTAGGCTTTAGGCTTTAGGGTTTAGGGTTTAGGGTTCAGGGTTTAGGGTTTAGGTTTTGGGGTACAGGGTTTAAGGTTTAGGGTTCAGGGTTGAGGATGAGCCCTTAACGGCAATCTGCAAACCGTGAGCCGGAAGGAGGTCCAAGCTCAGGATTTGATTTGGCTTCGGGGTTCCAGGCGTTCGGACTTCTTGCGGACCAGGTAGCCGAGCAGCCATACCCTGCACCCTAATCCGAGCGTAATTGGGGGGGCTCCCCCCCCCCTCCCTCCCCCCCCCCCTCCCCCCCCCCCCCCTCCCCCCTCCCCCCCCCACTTCCCCCCCCCCACTCCCCCCCCCCTCCCCCCCCCCCCCCCCTCCCCCCCCCCTCCCCCCCCCCCTCCCCCCCCTCCCCCCCCCCCCCCCCCCACAATAAGGAAGGCAGGGTTCCGCAATAGTTGGACCATGGCCCCGTCAGCTTCCAGAAAACCGAAGCCCCGGCTTCCTTAAAGCTTTTCCTTTTAAGCTTTAAGGCTTCTTTAAAGACTACAGGACCGGGGCTCCCCACGGGCCAGGGCCTCCCATAACTCTGGCCCCATTCTATTAATGTGACTCCGCCTTTCCCGGCCAGAGCCCGTAAGGGGTAGCTCAGGAAAGAATGAAAATTTCTGTCCTCCAGTAAGCAATCACATAAGAAATCCTTGCTTTCTGAAGGCCCTCAGCTTCCAGAAAACCGAAGCCCCGGCTTAGCAGATGTTTCACATCGACCCAAACGTCCCTGCAGAAGAAAAAAGCTTTCCGAACGGCAGAGTTTCAAAATTTGACAACCCCCCCCAAAAAAAATTTCTTTAAATGTGGGGGGTTTGGCCCACACGAAATCCATCGTAATGGAAAGTAGTCTTCCGGCGGGAATCCGGGCAAACAAAAATTTCTTTAAATATGGGGGGTTTAATCAAACAGGAGCTCGGATTAAACCCTCAACACGCCTCGCCCGCAGAAGTAGGAGTTGGCCTTCATATTCTGGGGTTTAGGGTTTAGGGTTTAGGGTTTAGGGTTTAGGGTTAGGGTTTAGGGTTTAGGGTTTAGGGTTTAGGGTTTAGGGTTTAGGGTTTAGGGTTTAGGGTTTAGGGTTTAGGGTTTAGGGTTAGTTTAGGGTTTAGGGTTTAGGGTTTAGGGTTTAGGGTTTAGGGTTTAGGGTTTAGGGTTTAGGGTTTAGGGTTTAGGGTTTAGGGTTTAGGGTTGGATGCTTAGCCACATCTATGGTATGCTGCGAGCCCGCAGCCAATCTTCTGGACGATCCTCGGAGCTGAGAGGCTCAAGGAGGGTCAGCAGAGGACCGCTTTCCTTGCGTCCATCCCATGTCTAGGCCCTGAACCCTGAACCCTAAACCCTAAACCCTAAACCCTAAACCCTAAACCCTAAACCCTAAACCCTAAACCCGAAACCCCATATAAACCCTGAAGCCGAAGCCCGAAACTGTAAGGCCTAAATCCCAAACCCTCCCTCCCGTCGAAATGCCCGAGAGCCACAAGCCAGCCTCCAGCCTGGCTTTAGGGGCACAGGGGTTTAGGGTTTAGGGCTAGGGTTTAGGGCTAGGGTTTAGGGTTTAGGGCCAGGGTGTCGGAGGTCCAGTTTTCGTGGCTTGGTCGAGGGTTCAGGGACCCGACTCCCTTACCATGAAGGCGACGGCGCCCGCCCAGCCCGAGCCCATGGCAACCACCGAAGGCTTCGATGAGGTCGACAGCATGGAGGCATACCTCTCGGGTTCTGAACGCGGGCGGGATGTGGGGGTTTGGGGTCCCTTGATAAGGGGATCCTACTGCTTGGGGGCCTGTATTTGGGGTCCCTTATTTTCGCAAGCTCCCATGTAACCAAAGCTCCCTAATACTGTACTCCCTACGACTAGGCTTCCCTAAGGCTCTCTAGGTACCTCCCCCGCATGAACCCCCCTCTCTTAAGAACCCCTTCATACCCTACCTTCAGGAGCCCGTATCGTAGAAGGGGCATTATTGTTGCAGCAACCTATAAAAGATGTAGGCTTTGGGTTCTCAAGGGCAGCCCTAAGCCGTAGATCTGGAACTTGAAAACAGTGGGCCCTCAATGTCTCGTACTCTATGCCCTAAGCCTGTCTCAGGCTGCTTTTGAATTTCCGGCTTGTGGTTCCGCGTTTGAGGTGCAGGATGTGTCCATGAGGCCTTCTACGGCGCACGGTTCGACGCCTAAGCCCTAGAGCTGGTTTGGTGGCCTTGCGGGCGCTTGGGGGCTTACTGCCTGTTGGGGCTTGCCGGGCTAAGACAACCCTGAACCCCAAACCCTAAACCCTAACCCTGAACCCTGAACCCTGAACCCTAAACCCTGAACCCTGAACCCTAAACCCTAAACCCGAAGCCCTAACTGCTGCGGAAGGCTCCAGAACTCCGGCGTCTCTGCGGCGCGCTGCTGCGCCAGCGCCGCGACTGGGCGGCGCAGCTTGCGGAGCGCGAGGCGGTGTTTAGGGTTTAGGGCCCAGAGCCGAAGCCCTAAATCCTGAACCCTAACCCCTCAACCCCTAACCCCTAAACCCTAAACCCTTAAACCCTAAACCCTGGACCCTTGACCCTGGACGCTTGGTTTAGTGTAGGCCGGTTTTGGGGGTTCTGGGTTCTGCGGAGCCTGGATAGGGGCGAAGGCGTGGCGGGCTTAGGGTTTAGGAAGCCTGCGCCCCTTGCAGTCAAGGGATTAAGACTCGTACCCTTAAGGTTGTACCCCTAAAAAATTTCCCTCAACATATTCCGAAAGTGGCCCTCATACTACCACAGGGAATTTAGAAAAGGGGCCCCCAAAAGCCCAAGGGTACAACCTTAACGGTCCGTGAATCCTAAAGGGGCCCCCGAGACCCTAAGACCCTGACCATGATGCCAGGCCAGCTGCACACGCCTGCTGAGCCGCCTCGATTGCAGAGACTGCTTGTGAATAGGGTTTAGGGTTTAGGGTTTAGGGTTTAGGGTTCAGGGCCGGCGGCAGCCGAGATCCGGAATGCCACCCCAAAGCCTTCAGCCCAAATCCTGTCCTTGCCATAGCCAAGATTACCGCATTCGCCTGAAGTACCCTGAGCCCTAAACCATAAACCATAAACCCTAAACCCTAAACCCTAAACCCAAAGCCCTTGAGGGGCTTCGGGTTTAGGGTTGTACGATGGTGTGACCCATCATTTGGAGTGACCCATGTTTAGCACAAAGAGGTCAGGTCAATTCCATGGGGTGCTGTTTAGATGTACATGTAACTTTTGGGTTTGGGCCTGGGATAGAAGCCGACTTCTTCGTGGACAAGCCGGAATAGAGGACAAGATTTTGTGTCCGTTCGCAGCTATAAGCTGCTCAAGAAGGGCCCTTCTTAGTATCATAGCAGCCAGCTTTGTACAGTTTTCGCCCCCGTGGATAGTGTCCCTGTACGTTGTGGATCTGATTAGCCAACTCGCAGCCGGAGGCCAGGGGAGCTAAAAGGATCGAGCGTTGACGAGGGATAGATCCTTTCCCTAACCTTTGGGATAGTTATCTGTTCTCTTTACAACTCATAGCCGGAGGCCGGAGGATACTGAGAGCAGGTGGCTGTTCAGGTGAATATCGGGATAGGTGTACAACACGCAGCCGGACGGCTAGTGGATACATCTTGAACGATAGGTTACCACCCCCTGGAGATAGCAACTTTGGGGATCCTTCCGATAGTTAACGTCGGGAGTGGCTTGGAATACTTGGCTAGCTACCTCGTGTTCCCCGTTGACAGGGATACTGTTACTTCTGGTGCAACATAACAACCTACAACTGTAAATATACAACTTCTTTCTCCTCGTGTGGCCTGAGCTAGTTACTGGAACGGGTTGCGCAAGTTTTCATTGATTTGGACACTTCGCACAGGTTAAGAGCCTTGGCACTCCGGCTGAGCAAGAAGGGTCAGCGGCACACGCCTCGCGAACAGGCTCCAGAAACAGGACATCTGCACTCGGAGTCAGTACAAGGACGCTGGCTTGGCGACCGGTGAAGCGCAGGGACGCTGTCACGCAGACTACAAGCCATGACGCTACAGCGCAGGATGTGGGTGTGCAGTCAGATCGCGTGGGATTTCGCGAAGCCGAGAGCAGTGACAGTGTCTTGGGAAGTGGGGGGCTGGCAAGGACCGGCCTTGAACACAACTACTACAGCGGCTGGGTTGACGAACTCGATTTGGCCCACATGCAGGAGGCAGCAGTGGATGCGTGTGAAGTGGCCACCCAGACAGTCTGTTTGCAAACAGCCACCGCCCAGGTAGAACAGGAAGGTCTCTTACCAATTGTTCAGTATGGGGACGTGGCCAGAGTCAAGCAAAGCATTTCAGCATGCGGTTTCGAGCACAACTTTATCGACGGTGACGTGATCATGGTGCCACGAGGGAAGCATGATCTTCTGCGTTTGCCCGTCGGCGAGTGCGGTTTGATCAAGAAGATATATGACGAGAAGGGCTTGCTGAAGATCTTGTTTCCAGAAATCGGCACTGTCTTCGTCAGCACGTTTGAGGTTGAAACCTGCTTTGACGTCCTCCTTCCCAGAGAAAGACTGGATGAGTTCCTCGGGTTCCTCAGAGCATCACAGTGACTTCGCGCGTCTCTTTGATCCCCGCGAAGCGGGGGGTGTTGTGCATGCTCTGTTGCGGGGCTTCGTGAGGAGGGGCTTTGGATGTTGCTCTTGTGATTTTGGGCTTCAAGGATCCACCTGCTAACGCAATAGGATCGCAGAGCCGCGGACATGGCTGGACAAACGCTGCAGTGGAACAAAATGATGGACCGAGTGGAGCAGATGTCCCCCTGGCAATATCGCAAATTCAGAAGGTATGTCGCAAGCATGGGTGCTAGGCGGGCAAAGGAGATCAACCAACATCAAGACAGACAACCCATAAACCTGCAAGTGGGGTTCCCTAAGCCCGAAGCTTTGAATGTCCTCAAGCCCAAAACCCTAAGCCCTAGCCCTGAAACCCTGAAACCCTGAAGCCCTGAAGCCCTGAAACCCTGAAACCCTGAAACCCTGAAACCCTGAAACCCAGAAACCCTGACACCCTCAAACCCTCAAACCCTTAAACCCTCAACCCCTGAAACCCTGAAACCCTCAAACCCTCAAACCCTCAAAACCCTAAGCCCCTAGACCCGAAAACCCTCAACCCTCAACCCTCAACCCTAAACCCTAAACCCTAAACCCCTAAACCCCTAAGCCCCTAAACCCCTAAACCCTAAACCCTAAACCCTCAAACCCGAAGGCGAGAACTTTGAGCTTCGCTCCCTTCACTCCCGGCTCTTCGCAGCGCTGGAGAGGGAGGGCCTGGCTCCTTGGGCCTAGGGTTTAGGGTTTAGGGTTTAGGGTTTGGGGTTTAGGGTTTAGGGTTTAGGGTTTAGGGTTTAGGGTTTGGGGTTTGGGGTTTGGGGTTCAGGGTTTAGGGTTTAGGGTTTGGGGTCTAGGGTTTAGGGTTTGGGGTTTAGGGGTTTAGGGTCTAGGGGTTTAGGGGTTTGGGGGTTTAGGGTTGTTTAGGGTTGTTTAGGGTTGTTTAGGGTTGTTTAGGGTTGTTTAGGGTGGTTTAGGGTGGTTTAGGGTGGTTTAGGGTTGTTGAGGGTTTGGAGTTGTTTAGGATTGTTTCGTGTTGTTTAGGGTTGTTTAGGGTGGTTTAGGGTTGTTTAGGGTTGTTTAGGGTTGTTTCGGGTGGTTTAGGGTTGTTGAGGGTTTGGGGGGTTGTTTAGGGTTGTTTAGGGTTTCGGGTTTTAGGGCTTAGGGTTTGGGGTTTTGGGTTTGGGGTTAGGTAACGGATTTCTGTGGCTTTTTTTTTTACTAGGTAGCGCAGGTCTCACGCCTACTCGCAGGGACTGCGCTTTGCACAGGGTGCGCTTTAACCTTTCTGGGTCATTTTAATTCCTATGTAATCCCGAAGGTTGACCTTTAGTTCCTCTAGGATGTTGGACAGCTGAGTTGGGCCTTCCACCAGGTATGGAGTCGGGAGTAGGGAGTAGGAGTAGGGTTAGGGCTTAGGGGTTTAGGGAGTTCATTTAAGCGTTTAGGGGTTTAGGCGTTTCGGGATTGAAGTAGCGTCTGTGGATTTAAGCATCTAGGGGTTTTGGCGATGTAAGCGATCGGGAGTTAGGCGTTTAGAGATTTAGACGTTTAGTGATTTAAGCGTTCAGGGCTTCCAGCGTTTAGGGATTTAAGCGCCTAGGGGTTTAAGCAGGGCTTATGGCTTCGGGCTTGGGGGTTTAGGCCGAGTTTAGGGGATAGGTTTAGGGTGCTGAGGTTGAGGGCTTAGGGTTGTTGGTAGTTAAGCAGCGTATTTCCTTGGGGCTGATGATCCGGGGGGGGGGGGGGGGGGGGGGGGGGGGGGGGGGGGGGGGGGGGGGGGGGGGGGGGCCAGGCAACAGCGTGGTGGTTTTCTCAAGATTAGACGAAGTGCGTATGGGCTGAGGGTTTTATGGGCTTGTTCTAGGGTTGTCCAAACCTTCGCCCATCGCCCCCCGAAACCCTACACCCGCCTTGCCAAATCCTCGGATTTTCTTGAATCCTCCAAAGTGGGTTTAGGATTTAGGGCTTAGGGTTTAGGTTTTAGGGTTTAGGATGTCGGGGTTTTGGGGTTTAGGATTTAGGGTTGTTTAGGGTTTAGGGTTTAGGGTTTAGGGTTTAGGGTTTAGGGTTTAGGGTTTAGGGTTTAGGGTGTAGGGGTTTTAGGCTTAGGGGAGGGGGCGGGGGGGGCTTAGGGTTTAAGCCCGTGCGGGCAAGGATGTCGATGAGCTTCTCAAGGAGGACGAGCGAAAGCTGCGCATGGCCAAGGTCCGGGTGTAGGATTTAGGGTTTAGGGTTTAGGGTTTAGGGTTAGGGTTTAGGGTTTAGGGTTTAGTGTTTAGGGTTTAGGGTATAGGGTATAGGGTGTAGGGCTCAGGGTTTAGGGGTGGGTTTACAGGGTTTAGGGCTTTTCGGGAAGAAATGGAGCTGCTGCTGATCAGTTCCCAAACCCTAAACCCGAATACCTAAAGCTTCAACCTCAACTATACCTAAGCTCTACTGTTGTCTGATTTTACCCCTAAAGCCTAAAAGGAATAGGTTTGGGCGGCTTTGCCGCCTTGGACGGCGTGGGGTGGGAGACAAGTGTTAGATGGCCCTCCGCAATCGGGCCAATGCTGCTTTTCGCACCTCACGAAGCTTTCGAGCTTGTTCCGAAACCTAACCTTCACAGCATCTACGCCCTATCACAGCAAACCCTAAACCCTAAACCCTAAACCCCTAAACCCTAAACCCTAAACCCTAAACCCTAAACCCTAAACCCTAAACCCTAAACCCTAAACCCTAAACCCTAAACCCTAAACCCTAAACCCTAAACCCTAAACCCTAAACCCTAAACCCTAAACCCTAAACCCTAAACCCTAAACCCTAAACCCTAAACCCTAAACCCTAAACCCTAAACCCTAAACCCTAAACCCTAAACCCTAAACCCTAAACCCTAAACCCTAAACCCTAAACCGTGACTTATGCCTGACGCAACGCAGGTAGAGCGGCAGCTAGAGGAGGAGCCGGGGCAAACCCTACACCAGAGTGTTGGGGCCAAGTTCGCTGGGTTTCGGGTTGTAGGGTTTCGGGTTTGAGGTTTAGGGCTTTAGGGTTTTGGGGGATTAGGGTTTGGGTTGAAGAGGGGAATAAGGGTTTTAGGGCTTTGGGGGATTAGGGTTTAGGGTTGTGGGGGATTAGGGTTTGGGTTCAAGAGCTTTGGGTGTTAGGGCTTTTGGGTTTAGGTTTGGGTTCTGGGTTTTAGCGTTTCAGGGTTTGAGGGTTTTAGGGTTTAGGGCGCTCTCTCGGTCTTGGGCCTTGATTCGTTAATGTCAACTGCAGACGTCCGGCCGCGCGTTGTGCTTCCTTGATTTCAGTTATCTTTTGTGGTTTTCTTTCGTCTGGACCTACGAAAGCTGAGCCCCAAACCACTTCAACCCTCTCCCAATTAAACCTCTTATATACTACTTCCTAGTACCCTAAATTTAAGAGCCTCCGGCTCAAGCCGCCGACCCCGCTGGAGCATAGTTGAGAGGTAAACCCGCTCGCATGGAAGATCATCCCAACCTGCTCGGCAGAGTTCTGTGAATCGTTTGGGGGGGGTAGCACCAAAACAAGCTCAAGAAGACAGGTGGGTGGGGTTGGGGGGGGGGGGGGGGGGGGGGGGGGGGGGGGGGGGGGGGGGGGGGGGGGGGGGGGGGGGGGGGGGGGGGGGTTGTGGGGGGGGGGGGGTGGGGGGGGGGGGGGGGGGGGGGGGGGGGGGGGGGGTGGGGGGGTGGGTGAGGGCGCCCCTACTCCCCCGTGCTGACCCCCTGTTTACGCTGTGCGGGTGGCGCGGTCCTCCGCCCCTCCCCCCCCCCCCCCCAGGAGGTTTTCACCTCCTTTTCCCATCCAACACGCCGCCAGGGTCGGCGGACCCTAAGCCCTAAACCCTAAGCCCTAAACCCTAAACCCTCAACCCTAAACCCTAAGCCCGACAAAAACACAAGGTACCTACTTCCCGAATTCCCAACGAAGAGTGGCAAGTAAACTGGGTACCATTCTTGAAATAGTTCTTCAACTTCCCCTGCTGCTGAATGTTAGAACATGATTATCGGGAATGAGTCAATGAGTAAGTATATATATATATATGTATCGGATTTATAAAAGAAGAAGTAATTATGAACAATTACATAAATAAAGTCACAAAACAAATAAATGAAGAAATATATAGATAATATATATATATATATATATATACACATATTTGTATAAGGCGCTAGAGCCAGTAGGTCGAACCTCGGAAAATAGGTTGTAGGAGGAGAAGTGTCCGTCACCCGCGGCGAGACTGAGTTCCCCCTTCCGATTCCTTTTCCATCATTGACGAGGCGCACAGACTGTCTCTCGGGGCCACCGGCGTCCATTTGGCACTGAGAACCATTCCCAAAATTCTGATGACGGCTGATCCAAGCTTTGGTCCTTTTCCAGAGGGTGCCCCCTTGATTGGGCGCTCAGATGAGGACCCGCCTCTCTAAACACCCAGGTTTCCTCAACCCTAACTCCTAATCTTCCTAAACCCTGAGCTCCCAAAACACTCGTTTCTTGGGATGTTCCCCCGTATCCTACGAGTCCTTAATAGGGATTAGATGAGGGGGTACTGCAGTCATCCCTCTTAGGGACTGTTAATAGAAGGGGGAACATCCCAACTCATTCCCTAAACCCCGAGCCCTAAAGTCCCAAAACCTTCCCCAAACCCCAAACGCAAAACTCTCAACGCGGAACGTCACTACCCATGAGCCTCCAAGCAAAGTTTCTTAGACTCCCATGGAGGAGCTGCGGGAGCTGCATGCCGTGGTCTCCAAACAGCAGCAGCTAGGAAGAACTAGAGGGTTTAGGGTTTAGGGTTTAGGGTTTAGGGTTAGGGTTTAGGGTTTAGGGTTTAGGGTTTAGGGTTTAGGGTTTAGGGTTTAGGGTTTAGGGTTTAGTTTTTAGGGTTTAGGGTTTAGGGTTTAGGGTTTAGGGTTTAGGGTTTAGGGTTTAGGGTTTAGGGTTTAGGGTTTAGGGTTTAGGGTTTAGGGTTTGGGGGTTCGTGTCTCGGTGGTTTGGGCCTTTGGGTTTAGGCTTCTTTTGGGTTTTTGGGGGGATGAGGGTTTGCTTGGGGGCCCCTAGCCCTCAGCCCGATGCTCCCTGCACGCTCGACCCTGGCCCTAAATCCGAAACCCTTCAACCCTGAAGCCTTGAACCCTTGAACCCTTGCACCCTTGAACCCTTGAACCCTTGAACCCTTGAAACCTTGAACCCTTGAACCCTTGAAACCCTTGAAACCCTTGAAACCCTTAAACCCTTAAACCCTGAAACCCTTAAACCTTTAAACCCTTAAACCCTGAAACCCTTCAACCCTTCAACCCTTAAACCCTTAAACCCTTAAACCTTTAAACCCTTCAACCCTTCAACCCTGAAACCCTGAAACCCTGAAACCCTTCAACCCCTCAAGCCTTAAACCCTTAAACCCTTAAACTCTTAAACCTTTAAGCCCTTAAACCCTTAAACCCTTGAACCCTTAAACCTTTAAACCCTTCAACCCTTCAACCCTTCAACCCTTAAACCCTTAAACCCTTAAACCCTAAACCCTAAACCCTAAACCTTAAACCCTTCAACCCTAAACCCGAAACCCTAAACCCGAAACCCTAAGCAGTCAGCGGCGTAAGGTTGGCACTTCAGTGGCTTAGCAATACATGTAGTTCGCACACAAATCCATTCTCATGAGATAGGGCGGTTTAGGGTTTAGGGTTTAGGGTTTGGGGTTTAGGGTTTAGGGTTTAGGGTTTAGGGTTAGGCTTGTATATAGTTCAGGCTTCTTATGTGACATCCGCGTTTTTTGTCTATACTCCGTTCCGTCGAACTTTGGTACCCCCCCCCCCCAAAAAAAAAAAAAAAGAAAAACTCCACACTTGAAATCAGTGGCCTAAATAAGATCGTGACTGTAGCCTACCCCCTAAACCTTAAACCCTAAATCCTAAACCCTAAACCCTGCTTCTAATTACCTTAAGCCCTACGACCTGAATCTCGAGCCACAACAGACCGCAAAAGCCGGACATCACCGAAGCATCCCTAGGGTTAGGGTTTGGGTTTAGGGCTTAGGGCTTAGGGTTTAGGGTTTAGGGCTTAGGGTTAGGGGTTTAGGGTTAGGGGTTTTGGTGTCTAGGGCTTAGGGGCTTAGGGGTTTGAGGGTTTTAGAGGTTTAGGGCTATGGAGTTTAGGGTTTAGGGGTTTAGGGGTTTAGGGTCTAGGGGTTTAGGGGTTTGGGGCCCGAAGCCCCAAAACCTCCAACACGAAATCCCACTTCCCCCTAGCCGAACACAAGACCGCCAAGCGAACCCTAAACTCTCGGGTTTCGGAATATCGGATAAGGGTTGAATTAGGGTTGGGGCTTAGGGGTTAGAGTTTAAGATTTAGGGTTCAAGGTGTCCTTCTTGGTGCCTTAGACAAAAGAAGGAATACAGCATAAGCGAGACGCAGATGTGAGATCAACTCACATGGGAGGTTTAGGTTTAGGGTTTGGGGCTTGGGGTTAGGGAAAAGGGCTAGTATGGCAACCGCAGTTGATTTCCTCATTCAGGCTACCCTACTTATTCTAATTGTCCATGAACCTCGACAACCCTAACGATTGGACCCGCGCTCTGAACCCTAAACCCGACAAAAGGGTTTAGGGTTTAGGGTGAAGGTTTCGATCGGCCCTCCTCTCTACACCTGGAGGTTCAGGGGTAGTTCTAAGTAGGGCTTGAAGCATGGCGTGGTTTAATTTATTTCTTTACCCTAAACCCTAAACCCTAAACCCTAAACCCTAAACCCTAAACCCTAAACCCTAAACCCTAAACCCTAAACCCTAAACTTTAGACCCTCCAAGTGCCCGCAGGGCTCAGCTCGATGCCGCACTGGCGGAAAGCCAGCATCTCCGCAGCGAGATGGAGGCACCAGCAGAGTTTAGGGTTTAGGGTTTAGGGTTTGGGTTTAGGGTTTAGGGTTTAGGGCAATGAGGGGCATAGAGCTCCCAAGGGTGCTGAAGGGGTACTTCTCCCTCAGCCCTAAACCCTAAGCCCGAAACCCTAAGCCCTAAGCCCTAAGCCCTAAGCCCTAAGCCCTAAGCCCCAAGCCCTAAGCCCTAAGCCCTAAGCCCTAAGCCCTAAGCCCTAAGCCCTAAACCCGAAACCCTAAACCCTAAACGCTACGCCAGGCATCGAAGCGGTCCGGAACGAAGGAGACGACGGCCCCGCCAGAACCCGTCAGGGGCTCCGGATGCGCTTCGTGGCTTTGGGGTTTAGGGTTTGGGGTTTGGGGTTTAGGGTTTGGGGTTTAGGGTTTAGGGTTTAGGGTTTGGGGTTTAGGGTTTGGGGTTTAGGGTTTGGGGTTTAGGGTTTGGGGTTTCGGGTTTGGGGTTTGGGGTTTAGGGTTTGGGGTTTAGGGTTTGGGGTTTAGGGTTTAGGGTTTGGGGTTTAGGGTTTGGTGTTTCGGGTTTGGGGTTTCGGGTTTGGGGTTTAGGGTTTGGGGTTTAGGGTTTGAGGTTTCGGGTTTGGGGTTTACGGTTTAGGGTTTAGGGTTTGGGGTTTGGTGTTCAGGGTTTAGGATGTCCTTATTTTCAAAGCCTCATCATGCTCCTGAATGGGGGGGGAGGGTGCCCACAAGACTGACGGAGCTACCCAACCACACCCTCAAGCCAAAATCATGAAGCTTTAGCTGCAGGGGGACCCTAAACCCTACACTCTAAGCTTGCACCTCAGCCCTAAACCCTAAGCCCTAAACCCCAAACGACTCTAAACCCTGAACCAAAAGCCGTGGACTAACCCTAAGCCCCTAATCCGTCAATGATAGGCCTAAGTTGGGATGTTCCGATGTTCCTCCTTTTTCTAACAGTCCTTAATCGGGATTATCGTACCCAGCATTATAATCCCTATCAAGGGCTGTTAGTATGAGGCGGAACATCCCAACCCTAAACCCTAAGACTGCAAGGATAGGCCTAAGCCTAAACCCTAAACCCTAAACCCTAAACCCTACACCCTAAACCCTTTCAAACCCTAAAACCCCAAACCCTAAACCCTAAACCCTACACCCTAAACCCCCAAGCCTTCAATGATAGGCCTAAACCCCAAATGTGCTGCAGGCTGTGGAAGCCGCGCGGCCTCCGAGCGAGGAGGCCGGGTCCCCCCCAGCTGGGGGTGGAGGGTTTCGGGTTCAGGGCCTGAACCCTAAACCCTAAAACCTAAACCCGAAACCCGAAACCCTAAACCCCAATTAAACCCTAAACCGCGAGACAGAGCGAAAGGCCCTGAGACTAGGCTGCGTGGCTCCCTGATCCTTGGGTACTCCCAAAGCCAAGCCCTGTAATCTTTTGGGTGTAGGGTTTAGGGTTTAGGGTTTAGGGTTTAGGGTTTAGAGGTCCCTAAGGGCATTTGGGGTTTGAGGTCTTTAAGGGCTTGAGGGGGTTGTAGGGCGTTAAGCGGTGGGTTTAGGGTTTAGGGTTTAGGGTTTAGGGTTTAGGGTTTAGGGTTTAGGGTTTAGGGTTTAGGGTTTAGGGTTTAGGGTAGTTGGGTATTTAGGGTTTAGGGTTTCTTGGCTGATCCTGTGAAGGCCCAATTCCCATACCCTGCGCCAAAGCCCTACAAACACTACCCCGAAGCCCTAACCCCTAAACCCCAGGCTCCAAGCTCTACACCCGCAGCGTAAACACTAGACTCCTAACTCTAACCCCAAACCCAACCCTAAACCCCAAACTCTGAACCCTAAACCCTAAACCCTAAGCCACCAAACTCTTCACCCTAAACCCAAACCCCAAACCCCAAACCCTAAACCCCAAACTCCAAGCCCGAAACCCTAAACCCCAAACTCTAAACCAGTAGCCCTAAACCCTACACCCTAAACCCTAAGCCCTAAACCCCAAACCTCTGAACCAGGAACTGCCAGATCCCCTACCGAATCCGAACACCGAGCCTCAACGGCCCTGGCCGCTGCGCACGGTGCGGAAGGCAGGGGCAGCTGGGAAGGTTTAGGGTTTAGGGCTTAGGGATTAGGGTTTAGGGTTTAGGGTTTAGGATTTAGGGTTTAGGGTTTAGGGTTTAGGGTCTAGGGTCTAGGGTTTAGGGCTAAACCCCCACCCCCACACCCTACATCGGTTAAAAGCCCTCAACCCCACACCCTACACCAAGCCCTGCACCCTAAACCCTTAAATCGCAACCCCAAGACAAACTCTAAACCACGAACTCCCAAAGGAATGTTCAGGGTTTAGGGTTTGGGGTTTAGGCTTCAGGGTTGGGAGTTCGGGGTTGCTCGATCAGCGTTTCTTGAGTTTTTCAATTAGAAAGCCCCTAAATCCTTAAAGTCCCTAACCCCCTACATCCTTAATCCCCTAAAAGTAAGCCTCCACCCCTAAACGCTGAACCGTAAAGCCCCCTAAATCCAACCATGACCCTGAACTCAAACCATGGCCCTCATCCCTGCAAGAAAACTTGCAAGAAATGGTAAAAATCAGCCAGGAAAAGCTAACATGGCTCGTCTCTAGGCCTTAAATCAGGAATCCTAAGCCCTTAAGCCCTTCAGCCCTTAAGCCCTTAAGCCTTTCAGCCCTTAAGCCCTAAACCCCTGAACTCTGAACCCTAAACCCTAAACCCTAAACCCTAAATCTTAAACCCTAAACCCTAAACCCTAAACCCTAAACCCTAAGCCCTAAAGCCCTAAACCCTGAACCCTAAACCCTAAACCCTAAACCCTCAACCTTGAACCCTAAACCCTAAACCCTAAACCCTAAACCCTAAACTCTAAACCCTAAACCCTAAACCCTAAACCCTAAACCCTAAACCCTAAGCCCTAAACCCTAAACCCTAAACCCTAAACCCTAAACCCTAAACCCTAAACCCTAAACCCTAAACCCCAAACCCCAACAATTCAAGCCTTAACTGGAGGCTGTGGCACCGCTTCGGCCGACTGCGGCCAAGGCCCAGCCTGTGCGGCTGCAGATCCGCCCCTCGGACCGTTTAGGGTTTAGGGTTTAGGGTTTAGGGTTTAGGGTTTAGGGTTTAGGGTTTAGGGTTTAGGGATCGTAGGGGTTCGTAGGGGTTTGTAGGGGTTTCGGGTTAGGGCTAGGTGCTTACGACATTCCTTCTTGGGTGTGTTTTGTCTTTTTTTTGGGGGGGAGGGAGGGGGGGGTACCCTAAACCCTAAATCTAAGGCCTAAACCCTAAACCCTAAACCCGAAACCCTAAACATTAAACTCTGAACCGTTTAGGGTTTTTTTTGGCACCGCTGGGGCGACCTGGGCATGTGAGGTCTTGATTCCGTAAAGCGTGCCTAGGATGCCGCGAGTCCAAAATAGCCCTAAACCCTAAACCCCAAACCCTAAACCCTAAACCCTAAACCCTAAACCCTAAACCCTAAACCCTAAACCCTAAACCCTTGCAGGCAGCACACTTGGATCAAGACACGCGGAGTCCTTTTTGCCAGCTGCTTGCTCGGACCGAAAGGTGCTCGCAACGATAGCGTTTGAGAGCGGCACAAGCTTCCAGCTTGCACGCCCCCAAAACTCAAAAGTCAAAGCCTTTTGGATTCACTGGCCACTCTTTTGTTCAAGAGAACCTAAGCCTAATTGCTTTCGCTTTCGACCAGACAGGAGTTCGGGATCGTAAACAATACGCCATTGTCCATCCCTACGTAGGTACTCATGATACTGATGCAGCTCAGTTTCTTTGGTCAAAGAGTTTGCAAGCTGACTATCTCCATTCACCCATCGAAGAATCATCTTAGTGGAGGTCATGCTTTCCTTCAGGCACAAACTAGCGATGTCAGTACGTTTCTCGGCTCCCTTCAGGGTAAGAACCGTCTGACTCAACCGATCATAGAGGTTCTTGCTATCGCTTATCAACACTCCCGGGACCTTACTCACCGCATCATCACATGACCACAAAGCAACCTGACCTCCCTGAAACTCATACACCTGGAACCGCACAGCATACAGTTCATCATCAGCATCCACCGCAGCATGAGTTTCTGCCGATCCGGAGCTTCTACATACTCGTTGAATCTTTGCTGACTGCCAGAAGATTGGGCTGATGCGTACCAAGTCCCCTTTGAGCAACTTCTCGTCCGTCCATCCGATAAAGATGCCTTTTGTCGAACTTCCATCTGGACGATGAGAGTCTGCCGCGTCTACCCAGGCTGCCAGCAATTTTGGAGCATGTGGTTGGGCATGGATTCTCATCTTCTGGTGTTGCGCAAGCTTGGCTTTCCTCAGGAGCTTGTTAGTTTCAAGGATTTCGTTCACTGTGCCTCGATGGATTCGAGACAACATCAAACTCACGGGAGCACTCCAAATGGGGGCGACTTGATTAGCATGCCATGACAACGCACCTAGTACACTTCGAAGTTGCTGAAGCTCTGTTTCGTTCAGCGCCTGAGACGGATCTTGCCAGCGACTCTTGCTCACGTGAATTTCGCTGATGGTTTCCAGATAATCTGGTTGGCTCAACAGAAATCCACTTTCATCCTGTTCTATCAGGACGCCGCACTGACAAAACCGCTTGCTCTCCCATTGACCCCATTTGAATCTCTCCCGTATCTTCTTCTTAATCGCTTCCCAAGCAGCATCCTGAGCACGGCCGCCAAACAAGAAATCATCAACATGTCCGCATACCCATCCTATTGGAGTTCTATCCTCCTTAAAGAATCCCCAACAGCATGGATCGGAGAGCTGCCGCTCCCCTCCGATGGATTCGAGAAATCTTGAAACTGAAAGAAACCACTGGATCGGGGCTTCCACTAATCCGTACGCGGCTCTGGTTAACAACATTGGGCTTCCCGGACTAACCCCGACTGCAGAGCAAATCTCCGGCAGAGGCTCGCACACCATGGGACGATCGGGTCCAAACTCATCCCCCTGCAAGAATGCCCCGCTGATATCTCCTTTCTCCACTTGGAAACCAGCGTTTGCACATTGTTGAAGGAAGAGTTGACGAGTGGTTCTTCCCATAGTTGGGCTACTGGTGGGTCTATGTTCGTATTGGGGATCCATATAGCCCAACACCACAGCCCTTGCCTTCGGTTTCAATGGGTTTCCAAGACTGTCTCTCTTTAACACTTCGTTTTCGGGAATCCCTTCGTCTAACTTCCAAGTCAGAATCCAGCGCATCTTGAGAATTTGGTTCTTGCTGGGTTTCATGTGGGAGGGAAGTTTTTGGAAGGCTCGGGCGACGATAAAATTCTTGACTTCCTTCTGCTTAGCCTTCTGGAACCCTTCATACTCGGCCTGCGTCAAATGCTTTTCTGAAATCTCAACGGCATTCTTTCGCAACTGCTTCACGAAATAGCAACCCAAATCGCGAACCCATTCCTTTCCCCTCTTGGTGCTGACATGTGGCAGCTCAATCTCCATCGTCACTGCTTGTCGTTCCTGTGCCCAGAACGCGCTTTCCTCTGCTGGAAACACCACGCCACATTCCTCCATGAAATCAGCAGTTGATAGTGGAACCTGTCTGGCTACGGGCCTACCTCTCGTCAGGGGACTACGACTTCGAGTATCCAAGGAAGAACCATTGGGGCGTCCCTTAGGGGTAACTTCCGGATTGTTGTTTGGGTCCTCTGGTCGCCTATTTGGACTTCGGCTTCGGTGGTGTACCTGACTGGCCTGTATGCGCTGCGGGTTATGTTGCTTCCCTATGATCCTATACAAGGGACGATGTTCTTCATGTTCTTCATCGCATTCCTGTGGTTTTGGCATGTTCTGAGCATCTTGAGTGACATCTTCATACTGGTGGGGAGGCTGCTTTTTCAGGCTATCAGATAAGGTCCATGGCACATCGACTCCTTCCTGAAGTTCGGCCCACGACTCTTCGCGCTCAGAGGCAGGTCTAAGCTGTTGGGGCGAAGCCTTTATAAGTTGACCTCCCCTGTACAACCAGATCACATGTCCGGGACGGATTTCTTTCTCCCCTACGCGACTCTCCGTCGCAAGAACGCGGTACGGACCTACAAATCCTCCTCCCTTGAAATGTCGGCCCCCGTCCTGTTTGGGAGTCATCCGCCGCCATACAAACACCAGGTCTCCAGGGCAAAAGTTCTTCATGACTCGGTTGCCTGACAGCTCTGCTCTTCGCAAACGTTCCTTGGCTTGTTCTTCGAGAAACGTACGTTCAGCCAGGAGCATCGTCCTCACGTTGTTGCCAAACTCTGCCGACACCCCATGTTCGGTAAGAATAGGAATATCTCTCAGTTTGTTCTCGCCTAGGTGCCCCATTTCGTCAGGAGCCCTTCCGAAAGCATGTTGAAGAGGACTATATCCCTGGTACTGATCCCTATTGTTGCTTGCCCACAGCGCTCGGCTTAAAGCTTCTGAGGTACTCATTTGAGGTTGCTCGGAGACTAACGCTGACATCACATTCTTCAGGGTTTGGGCTGTTCGTTCGGCAAGAGAAATCTGCCAGTGTGCTTCAGCAGGAATATGTTGGACCTCGATACTCCGTTCAGACAAGTACGAATCCAACTCCTTACTCCTGAAACATCCCGCCGGATCCAATCTCAACACCTGTGGTTTTCCGAAGTAAGGAAGCCAATTACCCTCCAGAAATTCAACGAAGTCCTTCATTCCGGGAGTACGAGACTGATGTTGAAACAGCAACCGAGCAACCCTCAATCGACTGCCCTCGTCAATCCCAATCATCACTTGCCATTTTTCCTGGGTTTCGGGATGGTTCCATGAGAAAGCATCGCACTGCACAGTATGCCATTTTGGAACAAGTTCGTTGAGGGTAGCTTGACTTCGGGGGTCCGGTCGGCGGCGTTCAGCACAGACATCACATCGAAAATTTTCAGCACACCTAAGAACCTCTTTGCTCGCACCTCGTTTCTTCAGGCTACCTATCAGATACTGGAGACTACAGTGACCCGTGGCATTGTGAATCCTGCGCAAGTGCTGGAAAATCTTCTTGCGCTTTTCTGATGATATGTCCTGAAGCTTCTCGGGAGATGGTTCTTTGGCCGTGCACTCATCACTGTCCTCAACCGCCATGCACAGGCCTTCACCCGATTGCAATTCCTTAGCCGTCTCGAACCAACTCGCCTTGCGCTCCATGTACCGGATCACCCGGCGTGCGAACTCTCGAGTGTATCCCGCTGTCTGTTTACACGACTCCCCAGTACACCTACCACGTGAGTGTCTACCATCACACACCAGCGACATGTTCTGAACCAGAGCTCCATCCGTGCTAGCAAGTCTCCAACCTTTACACAACATCGCTCCTTGAAAATCCCTCAAGTTCACCTGACATCCCTGACACACACCTTCATACAGTTCAAGCTCCCTAGACAGCGCCCGATACCATGGTTGTTGCCAGGCCTCGCAGTGTTCTGTCATTTCAAGAACACATGTTATCCCCAGCTTCTGTGCAGCTTGGAATATCTCAGCCACGCCCTTATACTGCAGCATAGCTTGTTCCCGTTTAGCTTGGAGCCTCGAGATCTGTTCATGACTTCTCTGATTGAGTTTCTGCCACGGGGAGAAAGCAGTACTGTCGGGACTTATCCAAAGGACTTTGGGCTTCGTTTCCTTGAGGGTACGCACAATGTATTCTACTCCCTTGGTGGTCTCGAGCTCTCCTCCATTCCATTGGGACAAACTCACCGCTGAGCCCTTTCCGAACACTCGCTCACACTCCACCCTCAGATGACTATCCGAAGAACCCCCAACCTCCAACAACATCACACCTCTAGGGGCTAACTCTTCGATGCTGGACATAAGGCTACGCTCATATTCCTGACCGATAGACCGGGCAACTTGAAAGGGCAACTTCTGAATGGGCGCTAAGTCTTCCCCCGCTACATCCTCTGAGGAGATCGTCTCACCTAGCTGCGCGGACTCTTCTCCTTGCGAATGGGTGATGTCTCGCGGTTGGCCATCTCCTGCTGGAGACGATGGAGCTCGTTCTGGAGATTGCGGATCCGCTCCATGGCCTCGCCCGGCACCATCTCCAAGTCCGAGGTGACATCGCCCGGAGTGGCAGCCATCACCCAAGACTCGGTTGAGGGCCCCTGGGAGCTCCCGGATGCTCTTGTCGCCGCTTGTGGAGGTTGACATGTCCTGATCGGAGATCCGGCACTCGCTTTGTCCTCCTGTTGGAGGATCTTTTCTTTCTCGGTCTTGCTGAGTCCATTGGCCCACATGGCGAACCTCTTCAATCGCCAATGTGCTCCCGGCTCTTCGGTCGCCGTTTGAATGCACCACTTTGCATAGCTCGGAGCTTGGCTGATCACGGTCGCATAGGTGAGGTTGGAGTGTTTGCCGAACCCCATGTACTCCTTGCTCGTTGGCACCACGCGAGTCGCCATCAGGTGCTGGAAGAGCAAGCTTTTCATGCGGTCCATGGTCATGTTGGCACTGTATTCGAGCTGGTTGTCTGTCATCATCCCCTGCAGTTCCACCTTCTTCTTGCAGCGGTTGATCATCTTCACCACGTCCTTCTCTGTGGTCATCGTCTCTTCCAGCTCCTCCTGCTCGGCTGTCAATTCGGAGAGTCGGGCATTGAGCTGAACCTTGGTCCAGCTGGTGGGCGGCGTCTCGCCGATGCCTGCAACTTCTCCTGCATCTCCTTCCGAGTTGTCTGGCGTGTCATTCTTGCACGACCCTGCGCCTTGCGGACTAGGAGTTTCTTCGATATCGTGCTTGAGAGGCCTCGCTTCGAGATTCCACAACACCTGGTTGAAGTCTTTTCGGGGAAGGGGAAAACCACGGTTTCGCAGCAAAACTCTATCTTTAGGCTGCAGTCTCTGCTGTCCACTGATGGAGTAGCCTACTATGATCGCCCTGTCCCCTTTCCATGGGTTTGTTGCATGCCATAGCTGAGGCCGGAACTGAAATCCAGAAGTTATTGCATGCGACGACCCCTTCACCTCAACCTGACCACACTTGCGAACCTCGAAGCCTGAACCCTTACCTCCCGCTTCACCATCTTCAACCCACAAGGAACCCCCACTTTCGGGAACAACTAAAGGCACGACCCAGTTACATGTCCCCTTCAGATTGTGACTATCCCGATGAGGAGGTGACAGATTATTACACGCAACTGCCACGGAAGTACCTTGGAAATCTGGAAACAGAGATTGCACTTCCTGGACAAGCAGGCGGGTGAGGAAAGGCATGTCCTGGGTCACTCGTGTCACTCCCACGATTCCGCCATGCATGAATGCTCCAAACACGACATATGCAGGAGGACGCGTCTGATGATGACTCTGGACTACCTTTTCAGGACGGTTTTGGGACTCTCTTTGAAGGGTGTGCCACGGAATGCTCTTCAGGAAACTCTTTCGGGTCTTTGGGTTGTCACTTCGATGCCATTGTGCTTTAGCTTCAGCCTCTATGCGATCCAGACACTCTCTTCGGGAGTATGACATGATGTTGATCTTTCCTACTTCCCTGTCTCCCTGTCTGTTCGAAAAACTCTTGCTACTTCTCTCAGAGTGGCCACAGAAATCCACACTATGCACATCCACTGGCGCTTCTAGAACCTTTTCCTTCTGGTGAACGGTCGCGCCAAATGCCACCAGAAGGCGCTGTCCCTACTCGTCCGACGGGACGCTCGGGGTCGCATCCCCACACAAACTCTCGAAAGGCTCTTGGCGGACTCTGGCGTCCTTAAGGACATCACCAGCCAAGGGAAAAAGCTGGTGCCCGCTCTCGGTGGTCTCCAGGCGTGCGACCCGTCGGGGATCTACTTTCCTAAAAATGGCTTCGTTGCGCTCAAAATCAATCACTGCACCTAATGCCCGTAAACCCTTCACACTCAGAAGTACTGGTTGGCCAGGAATATCGTGCAGGTGGATCTTCATCTTGCTGGGAACACCACCTACTCGCGTCTGAAGAAGGGCTGTTGACAGGCATTCATGTCGTCCGTTGTTGCCGAATCTGAACGAGGGGGCCTCTCCAGGTATGATCTCGATGCCATCCTGCCCCTGGCTGGCCCAGTTCAGAGAGGCAATCTGCTGCAAGGCATCTTCTGACCCAAGGCTGCTTGTCGCCCCGCCGTCAATGATTGCCTTGCCCTGCTTGACCACATCCTCCAAGGCCATCATGCTCTCATCCATCGCCTGGGTGGCCAAGGCAGTCTCCGGTAGCCATCTTGGCTCTGCAGCTTCCGGGACCTCCTTGCCTTCGTCCTCAGGCCATGTGTTGAACACGAAGTGGACTCCCTGCTCGGTCTTGGATTGCCCAGTCTGCTCTGGACAGTCTCGTCGAAGATGGGGACCTCCGCACTTGAAGCACTTCACGGGAGGACGATTGAAGCTTGACGCTCCACTGGCCTTTCCCTTGCCGGAGGCCTTGCCGCTATAGAAGCTGCGATTCTTGCGCATCATGGCCTGTTTTTCCCGTGCGTCTCGAAGAGTTCGCCTTGCATCTTGTAACGCGGCATAGGCTTCATGGGCCTCGGTCTCTAAGGCCTGGTACGCGTAGTCCTCCTCGGCAGTCTCCCATTCCACTGGACCAGTCTCCTCAAACTCGTCCTCCTCGGCGAGCATTGCGTCTTCTTCGGAGGTGAACATCGCGGCATGTTTTCCGGCATCCCGCCTTCTCAGTTCCTCATCAGGCCATGTCAGCTTCAAGGCCTCCTTCACCTTCTCGATGCGGAACTGGTTCTTAAGGTTGGCCACGATGACGCTCTTCTCCGTTGCATCTAGGCCAGACCGCTGCAGCAGGAGCCAGGCTATCACGAAGTCTGGGAGAAACTTCTCGGCCTGTTCGGATGCTGCTTCGGAGACACCCCAGGTCCTCTGGCTCATTGTCTCTTTCTGTCGCCAGTCAGACCATGCCTCTGCTGCATATCCATCTGACCATGCCTGAGGAGACCATTTCCAGTTGGACCACCAGCTGGACTGCCATGCTTCCTCGGTCTCGGGGGCGACTTCCTCCTCCTCATGTGTCGGATGTTCCTCGCTCGTCTCGTCAAAGGGTGTTTCGCGCTCTGTCTCACCACCGGTGTCACGAGATGGTGAAGGCGCCACCCCATTCTCGGAGGGGGCCCGACTGGACACCCGGCTTGGATGTGGAGACCACGTCCAGGCTCCTCCTTTTCCAGAGGTGCCCCTACTCGAGGTGTTCTTCGACTTCCCCGGGCCATACTCCTGTATGGCCTCTGCCAAAGTTCTCTTGGCCTCGAGCAGTGCTTCATCATGTCGAACTATCCAAGCAGCCATGCCTTCACCACGACGACGTTTGATGCCGTAGAAGAAACGCGACATGGTCCTGCCAGCTTCTGCCAGGGTGGGTGACTGTACCTGTCTTTTCAGGTAGTCAAGAAGCTGCTCAGCACCTTTCTCATGTGATACCCAACCTGGTGGCATGTGTTCCACTGCCAAGCGAGCACTACCTTCCAGTGCAGCTTGCAGACGAGGTCCAACCAGACTGCGCTTCTTCCACTCTATCGTCTCGGCATAGTTCAGTGCTGCTCTTCTGAAGGCGACATAGAGCTCCGGCGATCCATCATAGATTGGCACGCCATCCTTGTTGAAGCGTAGGTCGCTCATTCTGTCTGGTCGTGGAGGACAGCTGGCCCTGGAAGCTGTCCACCACTGCGCTATCGCCTTTCTCACACGAACCTCCAGACCCTCTGGTCTAAAGAGGCTCCGCTACCATGCAGGCAGCACACTTGGATCAAGACACGCGGAGTCCTTTTTGCCAGCTGCTTGCTCGGACCGAAAGGTGCTCGCAACGATAGCGTTTGAGAGCGGCACAAGCTTCCAGCTTGCAACCCTAAACCCTAAACCTAAAGCCTAAACCCTGGGGCTTTGGAATTGTAGTTTTGCTTAGCCTGCTGGCTCCAAATAACCTGACACATAGAGTGCTAGGGTTTTGGGGCGTTGAGTTTAGGATTTAGGGTGTAGGGCATCGGGACCTTCGTATGAACCCCAAGCCCCGAACCCTAAAGCAACTGCCCGTCGTATGTATGGACCCCTCTTTGGGATGGTCCACCCTTATATTACCGGTTGTTCATACGGATTGTAGTACCCCGTTTTAGGGTTTCGGGGTTTAGGGTTTAGGGTTTAGGGTTCAGGAACATCCCAAGCCCCTCTTGTGGAGAGAATTGCATTGTCCGAGGCTTCATGCCAGCGGCCGCCTCCTCTGTAAGCGGCCGCCCTGTACATAAAGCAGAGGCCTGTGCTGATGGACAATGAGGATAGTTTGGGATGTTCCCCTGCCCCCCCGGTTTAATGTTCAGGGTTCAGGGTTTAGGGTTTAGGGTTTAGGGTTGAAAATACACTTCCCTTAATAATCTTAATTTATGCAACCCTGATAAGCAGAATGGAGTACCGTTCATCGTCCAATTTGATTTCCAAACCTCAAGCCTCAAACCCTACGCCCCCCGCCCCCCCCCCCCCCCCCCCCCCCCCCCCCCCCTCCACCCCCTCACAGACTCTCCCCAAATATCTGAAACCAGAAGCCCTAAACCCCCTCCTCCCCCAAAAAAAGAAAAACAATATACGCATAAAGTATAAATCAACATGAAAATCAACATAAAACATCCGAAGCCCTACCCCCTTGAAGCGGCATTGCGAAGGTCTCGGTGCACACGGCCGCTCCCCCAACGGAAGTGCTGCGTCTTCTCTTGGGCCAGGCCTTTGGGGGTTTAGGGTTTGGGGTTTAGGGTTTAGGGTCTAGGGTCTAGGGTCTAGGGTTTAGGGTTTAGGGTTTAGGAGTGTTTTGGGGTGTTGAACGTTGCTTTTTACCGGGCTTGTCAGGGTCTTTAGGGGTACTTGGGGTTTCGAGGGCCTTTACAGAGGAGTCTAGGGTTTAGAGTTTAGGGTTTTCGGTTAGGATGTCACATGTAGGTTGATTTTTGTTTGAAAAAATCACGTTTTTTGATTCCGAGGCCCAGGGTCTGGGCAGGATCCAGACAGAGTCTAGGGTTTAGGGTTTAGGGTTAGGGTTTAGGGTTCAGGGCACCCCACAGGAGCGTCCCCAACGCTGAGCTAGCGCCCACAGCGAACATGCAGTTAGGTCCTGAGCTTACTTCAGCCATCTTTAGCCTCTAAACCTTCAAACCGCAAGGCCTCAATCTTGGCCCTAGGCCCTTAACCCAAAACCCTAGATCCTAAACCCTAAACCCTAAACCTTAAACCCTAAACCCGAAATCCTCTACCCCAAAACCCTAAAGCCTCACACCCTAGACCCCTCAGCCCAAGCCCCAAAGCCGAACGTCCCATTGCCAAGCTTGATCTATTGCTTGCTTAAGAACCCCAAAAGAATAGAAAACAATAATCCCTAAACCCTAAACCCTAAACCCTAAACCCTAAACCCTAAACCCTAAACCCTAAACCCTAAACCCTAAACCCTAAACCCTAAACCCTAAACCCTAAACCCTAAACCCTAAACCCTAAACCCTAAAGCCCTAAACCCTAAACCCTAAACCCTAAACCCTAAACCCTAAACCCCTAACCCTAAACCCTAAACCCTAAACCGTGAAACCGGAACCCTGAACCCTGAACCTTGAACCCTGAACCTGAACCTGAACCTTCAACCCTCAACCCTAAACCCTACAACCCTAAACCCTAAACCCTAAGCCCCAAGCCCCAAGCCCTAAGCACTAAGCCCTACCCTAGATATCAGCCCTAAGCCCTAAGATAATCCCTAAGCCTAAGCCCTAAGCCCTAAGACCTAAGCCCTAAGCCCTAAGCCCTAAGCCCTAAGCCCTAAGCCCTAAGCCCTAAGCCCTAAGCCCTAAGCCCTAAGCCCTAAGCCCTAAGCCTTAAACCCTAGACCCTAAACCCTAAACCCTTAGTAAGGAAGAATATCTTTTTTTTTTATATAGTCTTAAATTATTTATTTTTTTTTATTTTTTGGGGGTTCTTAGGCAATTAGTAGTGACGGATGCAGGGTCTCGCCTGGCCAGCGTCGCTGGCACTGGCGGGCGAGGTGCGTCATCTCAACATCGCTTTCAGGGTTTGGGGGTTAGGGTTTAGGGTCTAGAATTATGGTTTAGGGTTCAGGGTTTAGGGTTTAATTACCCCAAACCTCAGGCTCAAAAAATCCTGGACCATGAGGGTGAAGCCGAAGATCTCTGGAACCCCTTGCTCCGAGTTTAGGGGTTAGGGCCTAAACCCTGTTGCCTGCCACTGATCCGACTCATCCCTGACGAGCTCCATGAATCACCACGAAAGCCAAATGCAACCTCAACGTTCAAGCAGTTCTCCTTAATCACCAGCTGCCAGAAACCAGTCATGGGTTCCCCTACCACCCCCCTCTATACTACCCCCCCCCCCCTAGGTTCCCCCCTTAAATAGCCTTAATTAAGCTTAATTATCCCCTAAATGGCCTTAGTTATGGGGGGAACCTAGGGGGGGGGGTAGTACAGAGGGGGGTGTTAGGGGAACCCATGAAACCAGCGGATTCCAGCCTGGGGTTCCGGTTTCGCCAGCATCACAACCAGCCGGGATCGCAGATCAACCCAGCAGAGGCATTCATCTGGATCCATCCAGCAAGGGGGAGCAGCTCTAGGGTTTAGGGTTTAGGGGGTTTAGGGGGTTTAGGGTTTAGGGTTAGGGGGTTTAGGGTTTAGGGTTTAGGGTCCAGGGTCGGGAATGCCCGCGAACTTGGGCTTGGTGGTGCGGTCCGAGCCATCCTAGCAGCTGAAGAATGACATGTTGACGTTCTCTGCAGTCATGTCGCCCCTTGTCCTCCAACAAAATCCTTAGACTTAGTCGTAGAGTAGGTACCCTTTTAAAACATCGGGGGTCCTATATTCCCTTTATACTCCCAAAGGTAAACCTTGAGTTCCCCTAGGATACTGGACAACTGGGAACCCCACAGTCGCTCGCTGGGAATTCGCTCTCGGATTGCAAAGACACCGACCACGATCCCCCCACCTCAGAGCAGCAGGCAACTTCACGACCCTATGTGTAGGGTGTAGGGTTAAGGGTTTAGGGTTTAGGGTTGTGTAGCATGGGCGGGCTCCTTCAATCGCCAGAAGCAGTGTGTTCTTGCAGAACTGCGTCCGGCACATGCTGAGTCATCACTTGCTGGCAAGGGCACTGGGGCTCTAAGCTATACCGTCTATATCGTCACTCATGACCGCTTGATCCCAAACCCGGGGGTAAATCCTCAACCCTGAACTCTAAAGCGGGTGTCTCTCTCTCTCTCTGTCTCTCTCTGCCTGCCTGTCTGTGAAAATTGATGGAAGTAGGTTCCCTCCTAGAACAAGCCCTCACCCCCCCAAAAAAAAATTAAGAACCCGAGACTTCTATGATGCCCAGCAGTCTCGTTGCTGCCGTAGGTTAGGGTTTTGGGTGTTCTCCATGAGACACAACAAGAGGCATTTCCTTTGCTGTTCGGCTGCCGGGCCTAGCCCTACTTCGTACCTTCGTAGGCTACCTTACATCCCCCGGTACTCAGCAAACCCTAAACCCTAAACCCTAAACCCGAAACCCTAAACCCTAAACCCTAAACCCGAAACCCTAAACCTTGAGCCCAAAATCCCCCTTTCAACCCGCAGGAGCATGGACTGCCCGGACACCTCCTCCTCCACGGCAGGGGCCCTTGGCATCTTTCGTATGCGTGTGCTTGACCCCTGAACCCTGATCCCGAAACCCTAAATCCTAAACCCTAAACCCAAAACCCTAAACCCCTAAACCCTAAACCCTAAACCCTAAACCCTAAACCCTAAACCCTAAACCCTAAACCCTAAACCCTAAACCCTATACCCTATACCCTAAACTCCAAACCCCAAGCCCTGCACCCTGTTCCCGCAGCCCTGCGACCTCGGCCTCCGAAAGGAAAGCTTCTGGACGATGCGCGCCCGCTTGCCGAGCAAGGTGTCCAGGAGCCACCAAGAATCGTTTAGGGTTTAGGGTTTAGGGTTTAGGGTTTAGGGTTTAGGGTTTAGGATTTAGGGCCCCAAAGTTCCTAAGTCAGCCTCCAAACCTTGCTGCTAAAAGCCATGTAGAGGCTTCCTGGAACCTTCATGGTCTTTTTGCGAGCTGTTGGGAAGTTCAGCACCCACAACCCCGGTGAGTGTCATGGCAAGTGCGACTCTGGGGGGTTTGAAAAGGGGTTTAGGGTTAAGGGTTTAGGGTTTAGGGTTATTCAGCCGCCCCCGGTGCGAGTCGCTGGCAGAAACAGCACCCCCCCTTTGTGCAGCTCCCTCTGTACCACCATGCGCGGGCTTGTTTAGGGCACCCTAAACCCTAAACCCTAAACCCTAAACCCTAAACCCTAAACCCTAAACCCTAAACCCTAAATCCCTAAACCCTAAACCCTAAACCCTAAACCCTAAACCCCTAAACCCAAACCCTAACCCGAAACCCTAAAGCCCTGAACCCCTGAAAACCCGAAGCGCCGAACCCTAAAAACCCGTAAACCCCATTCCCTCACCCTAAACCCTAAACCCTAAACCCTAAACCCTAAACCCTAAACCCGAAACCCTAAACCCTAAACCCCAAACCCCCTAAACCCTAAACCGCCTATAACCTTGTAAATTGTCTATGGCCCTCCAGAAGTACACCCTTGTTCTGTGCAGGATGGCTGCGAGCTCCGCCTCGTGAAGGGCCCCAAGGCTCGTGTGGTGGGGGACTACGTGAAACCCTAAACCCTAAACCCTAAACCCTGAACCCTAAACCCTAAACCCTAAGCCCTAAGCCCTAAGCCCTAAGCCCGAAAAGCTCTAAGCCCTAAGCACTAAGCCCCAAGCCCTAAGCCCTAAGCCCTAAACCGTGACACTGCACCTAAAAGTAGCAGTATTGACCAGCTGTGGCTCAGCTGTCCTACATATCGTGTAGGGCCCTCCGGCTAGCGCACATAGGAAGCCCTAAACCCTACCGTAGTTACTTCGAAAGATAAGGAGGATGAGGGGCAGGCTTCAGGGTTTTAGGGCAAGCACCAGTGAGCTTTCAGGTGCATGCCCGCGCGCACTGTCCCCGGGGCCTGCCTCCTGTCCGCGTTTCGGGTTTCGGGTTGAGCGTGTTTAGGGTTTGTGTCAAGCCCCCCTAAACCCCAAACCCAAACCCGAAGCCCTAAACCCTAAACCCCAAACCCGAAACCCTAAACCCTAAAACCTTAGTGCCCAGTCCTCAAAGTCAACTGCATTTCTTTCAGAGGTGCCCCCCAGGCAGATGGTGGGTGTCGAAGACCCCAAAAGGCCAAACACCCGTGTGCCTGGGGTCTATCAAGGCCCCAAGGCCCCGAAGCCGCCAAAGCTGAGCATCCTAGAACCTAAACCCTAAACCCTAAGCCCTACTAAGCCCTGAGCCCTAAGCCCTAAACCCTAAACCCCAAACCCGAAACCCTAAACCCTAAAACCTTAGTGCCCAGTCCTCAAAGTCAACTGCATTTCTTTCAGAGGTGCCCCCCAGGCAGATGGTGGGTGTCGAAGACCCCAAAAGGCCAAACACCCGTGTGCCTGGGGTCTATCAAGGCCCCAAGGCCCCGAAGCCGCCAAAGCTGAGCATCCTAGAACCTAAACCCTAAACCCTAAGCCCTACTAAGCCCTAAACCCCAAACCCCAAACCCTAAACCCTAAAAACTTAGTGCCCATTCCTCACCCAAATCCCTAAGTCAACTGCCTTTCTTTCAGAGGTGCCCCCCAGGCAGATGGTGTCGAAGACCCCAAAAGGCCAAACACGCATGTGCCTGGGGTCTATCAAGGCCCCAAGGCCCCGAAGCCGCCAAAGCTGAGCATCCTAGAACCTAAACCCTAAACCCTAAGCCCTACTAAGCCCTAAGCCCTAAACCCTAAACCCTAAACCCTAAACCCTAAACCGGAAACCCGAAACCCGAAACCCTAAACCCTAAACCCTAACCCTTGAACCCTAAACCCTAAACCCGAAACCCTAAACCCTAAACCCTAAAGCCTAAACCCTAAACCCTCCCTAAACCCTGAACCTCCTCACTTGCAACCTGACCCGCAATAGCAGAGGCTGATGAACGCACACCCCTGGGAGCCGGGAAAGCGCGGGATCCCAGGGTGGGCTCTTTACAAACCTCCGGGGTTTAGGTTTTAGGGTTTAGGGTTTTGGGTTTAGGGTTTAGGGTTTAGGATGAGGGTTTAGGGCAGCCCGAATTAAAGATTCGTACGCCCTGAAGGGCTTAGTCTACACTTAGGGATGTCAGTTGGCTTCAGGGACTGACGGGGGCTTCCTAGAGCAGTTCAGATTCGGGTTACGGGCCGAAGCTGTTTCAGATGTCTTGCGTTTAGGGTTTAGGGCTTCGGGTTCCGGGTTCAGGGTTTCGGGTTTAGGGTTTAGGGTTTAGGGTTTCGGGTTTAGGGTTCAGCATCCCAAGCTCCCGCATTGGCTAGTTAAGCTCGCGACTTCGGTTTGAATATCTACCCGTTTGACCCTTTTGGATCCCATAACACTCGTTCACTCAATCCACAAAAACCGTAGGCTCCATACCTTAGGTCGACCAAGCGCAAGGTTTAGGGCCTAAACCCTAAACCCTAAACCCTAAACCCTAAACCCTAAACCCTAGACCCTAAACCCTAAACCCTAAACCCTAGACCCTAAACCCTAAACCCTAAACCCTAAACCCTAAACCCTAAACCCTAAACCCCAAAACCATAACCCTAAATGCTAAACCCTAAACCCAACTTGCCGGCTCGCCTTGCACCTTGCCGACGCCGACGGGGTCAGGGTGGGGTGGGGGAGGCCTTGTCGACGAAGCCTTGCGCCTTGCCGACGAAGCCTAGCGCCTTGCCGACAGCTGCCGACGAATGACGTTAAGAGAGGTGGTTTGGGGTTGAAGGTTTAGGGTTTAGGGTTTAGGGTTTAGGTTTAGGGTTTAGGTTTGGGGTTTAGGGTTTTAGGGTTTAGGGTTTAGGGTTTAGGGTTTAGAGTTAGGTGGGATTTGCTTTGAAAGCAAGACTGGAGATGTGCCAGATTTGGCCAGACTCTTAGACCTTAAGCCCGACATCCCCAATCTCAAGCCCTGAAACCTTCGGCTCCTAAGCCAATGGACACCCTACGCCCTTTAAATTGTTTAGGACTTCATCGTTTCCCAGAATCCTAACCCCCATAAACCCTTATTGAACCCTAAGCCTTTCTGGCCTGATCTTTAACCTACCCCTCGTCAATGCTTCAACCCTAAACCCTAAACCCTAAACCCTAAACCCTAAACCCTAAACCCTAAACCCTAAACCCTAAACCCTAAACCCTAAACCACTCTTTCATATATAATATAAATGTTAATGGCTTTGCGGGCAAGGTCCGAAAATTAGTGGGCAAGCTCCGAAAATTAGCGGGCAAGGTCCGAAAATTAGCGGGCAAGGTCCGAAAATCAGCGGGCAAGGTCCGAAAATCAGTGGGCAAGGTCCATTGGCTGCCCCACGACCTTGCCCACTAATTTTCGGAGCTTGCCCGCTGACCCACGACCTTGCCCACTGATTTTCGGACCCTGCCCACTAATTTTCGGACCTTGCCCGCTAATTTTCGGACCTTGCCCGCTAATTTTCGGACCCGGGAAAGGCCGGAAAATTAGCGGGCAAGGTTGGAAAATTAGCGGGCAAGGTCCGAAAATTAGTGGGCAAGGCGAAAATTAGCGGGCAAGGTCCGAAAATTAGCGGGCGAAAATTAGTGGGCAAGGTCCGAAAATTAGCGGGCAAAGTCCGAGAATTAGCGGGCAAAATCCGTCCGAAAATCAGCGGGCAAGGTCTTGGCCCCCTTCCTGCCCCCCCCCTTTGCCTCCCCCTCCCCCCCCCCCCCCCCCCCTCCCCCCCCCCCTCCTCCCCCCCCCCCCCCAACCCCCCCCCTCCCCCCAACCCCCCCCTCCCCCCTCCCCCAACCGCCCCCCCCCTCCCCCTCTCCCCCCCCTCCCCCCCCCCCCACCCCCCACCCCCCCCCCCCCCCCCTCGCCCCCCTCCCCCCCCCTCTCCCCCCTTCCCCCCACCCCACCCCATGCACTGGGTCATTTGCAAAGCCACTGGCTGGCATGAGGGTTGAGGAGCCCTAAAGGTTCAAGGGTTCAGGGCTGAGGGTTCTAAGGTGGTTGAAGGTTCAGGGACGAGAGCGTAGGGTGAAGAATTTGGGTTGCGTGTGAAAACTTTGATTATCTTAATGGTATGGGATTCTCTGGGTGGGTGGGTACTTTTCGGGCGCTTGAAAGGCTGCCAGCCTAGTGAATGCTTGAACTTTGAGATGCTGAACCCTAAACCCTAAACCCTAAACCCTAAACCCCAAGCCCCGAACCCCAAACCCCAAACCCCAAACCCTAAGCCCCAAACCCTAGCGGCAAAGCCGCATGCGTGACAGGATTGGCCAGAGCAAGGCGCAGCCCCTCCTGTGAAGAATGGCGGAGGGGGCGGAGCATGGACCCCAAACCCCAAACCCCAAACCCCAAACCCCAAACCCTAAACCCTAAACCCTAAACCCTAAACCCTAAACCCTAAACCCTAAACCCTCAACCCTAAACCCTAAACCCTAAACCCTAAACCCTAAACCCTAAACCCTAAACCCGAAACCCTAAACCCTAAACCCTAAACCCTAAACCCTAATCCCTAAACCCGAAACCCTAAACCCTAAACCCTAAACCCCAAACCCCAAACCCCAAACCCCAAACCCGATGGGATGGGGGATCGAACCCACAATCCCGCTTGTTTCACGTGCGGCCGCGCTCCGAAACTGTGAGCTCTGGCCGACCGACCCGGGAACGGGAAAAAGTGTCCAGGGTGCATCTGCTGCCAGAGTTGCTTCTCCCCGGCCTATGCCCTTGTCCCCAAACCCTGCACCCCAATGTCTGAACACGAAACCCAAAACTTAAAACCCTAAAGCCTAAACCCTAAACCCTAAACCTAAACCCCAAACCCTAGGTCTTAAACCCTAAACCCTAAACGGTACACGTGGGGTTTCGGGCTCTGTCCAAGCATCTTCAGCTGCATGGCGACAGCAGCTGATGCAGAAACCAAGCCTTACGACCCAGCCCAGCACCTGCCTAATGTCAGGCTAGTGTTGCTTTTGCAACGGTTGCAAACCCAAACTAAACCCTAAACCCTCAACCCTCAACCCTGAACCCTGAACCCTGAACCCTGAACCCTGAACCCTCAACCCTCAACCCTCAACCCTCAACCCTCAACCCTGAACCCTGAACCCTGAACCCTGAACCCTGAACCCTAAACCCTAAACCCTAAACCCTAAACCCTAAACCCTAAACCTGTCCCCTGAACTCCTACAAGCCACAGACGAGCTTCGAACTGTGGAGAGCCTCAAAGCGTGGGTTGAGGGCCGTTAGGATGGAGGCTTGGGGCCACTACGGGGTTTAGGGTTTAGGGTTCAGGGTTCAGGGTTCAGGGTTCAGGGTTTAGGGTTCAGGGTTTAGGGTTTAGGGTTTAGGGTTTAGGGATAGGGCTCGTGGCCTTTACTGATTTTGAAGCTGCTCTGTTGCCGTACAGAGCTCAAGGGAGCCCCTGATTGCCAATCTGTCGCCTCTCGGCTGTATGGGTTTAGGGTTTAGGGTTCAGGTACCAGGGTTCAGGGTTGGCTTCTGCCCGATGTTCTATGGGTAGGGGGTTTATACAATCCTTGGCCGCTTCTTCTGGGGCTCTTCCCTTCGTGAGTCTCCGGATGGTGCGTGCGAAGTGTCTTTACCCCCAAGGGGTGCAGTTGCCAAAGCACAAAACAGGCGATGCCCGAAACTCTTACGGCTTGTATACCATGTCAAACTCTCAACCCCCGCACATGGAAGGGACAAAGCCCGTGTGGCAAGCAAGGTTGGTCAACT